TATTATAGATACTGAGTATCTAATATATATATGTATGTGTATATATATATATATATATATGTTCATATATTCAGTGGATGGGTGGGGGGGTGGCTAGGTGAAGAGGCACAGAGGCCTTATAGCTGTATTCAAACGAAAGCCTGATGTGGAGAGGAAGGCAGAGCCTGACAGACTCTCACTCGCCTTTCAGGCTGTCTCTCCTTGGAGTGGGTCTGCACACATCCAAGGCATTGCATGCACACATGGATGTCCTTAGGCTTCCCTAGTATGGGGCCTTGTGGCGGTCAGATCACACCTTGACTATTGTGTATCAGGCTGTGCATGCAGCGCAGTGCCTGGCACACAGCAAGCCCTGGGGTTTTATGGGGGTGAACAAATGCTGAGACCTTATGTCGTTGCAGGAGGGCGCCCCCTGGGCCGAGTTCTCCTCTCAGTGTATCCCAGCCCATGTTGAGTAGCCACGAAGGGAGGCCTGCTGGCCTGGGTGCTGGCCCCACGGGCTCCTATCACCTCAGCTGCAGTCCTGTGCCTACTACACCCAGCAGTGCCCCAGGTGAGACTGTTGACACTCAGTTTGCTCCCAGATCACTGTACCTCCCCATACACCAAAGCTTGTTTTCCCTTTCCCTTCAACCCCCTTTCTCAATGCCTTCCCATGCCGGCTCCTCTTTTGTCTCCTAACACGACAGGGAGAACCCGCCAGGTGACTGGAGAGATGACACCCCCACTCCATGAACACCGTGCCCGAATCCGGAAGAAACCCAAGGCTCTTCCTTACAGAAGGGAGCACAGTCCTGGGGGTGAGGGGAGTCCTGGACGTGGGAGATGGTGACAGCCAGTAGAGGGAGTGGGCAGGAAACAGGAGGAGTGGAGTAGGTGTCACCAGACCTTGGGTCATTTACTTGCCTCCCAGTGCCAGGGATGCGGTAGGAGGTGTGTCGGTGTTAGTAGAAGCGGGAGATTCTGCTGAAAACAGGTTTCTCCCCAGACTTGCCCCCACCGCCCTTGCCACCACCAGAGGAAGAAATAAGCTGGCCCTTGGGGCCGAGAGCAGCGGGCAGCACGTCTTCCCTAGAGCGAGAGCGCAGCCACGAGAGGAGAGTGGTACAGGCTGTGCCTTACCACGTCGGGCCCCACCCAGATGGTAAGGCTAGCGGGGAGGGGGGAACGACAGTGGGAGGGGACTGGAAGCTCACACAAGCCCCGAGGGTCCCCAGCTCACCTGCTACCTTCAGCTGGGTTAATGCAGCTGGTCAACATTGACGTTGACTCTTGTATCTCACACACTCTAAGCAAAGTCCTCAGAGTCCCCAAGATGACTCCCTCCAGGACTGAAACCAAGGATGAGGAAAAAGTGGAGTCTGGGTGGTGTCCCCTCTTCCCTCATTTCTCTGTGATCTAGTTCCTCATATGTTTCTGAACCTGAACCCCTGTCATGTCAAGGTCATGTGTTAGGCATTCTGCTTCTCCTTAGCTCTCGACCTGTCAGAGCCTAACGCCTGTCCCTCAGTCATTACCCAGAGTTGGGAGAATGCACAGGGTGGCTGGTGAACAAGAAGTTGACAGTCTGCTTCCCTCCACAGGCCCAGCCGCCCTTCTGGGTTGTACTGCAGAAGAGACCTGGCTCCCATACGGCAGACCGAGCTTCCTGAGCCATGGCCAGGGTACCAGCACCTGTTCTACTGCTGGCAGCAACTCTTCCAGGGGTTCCAGCAGCTCTCGAGGGTCTCGGGGCTCTCGGGGCCCTGGACGCAGCCGGAGCCGGAGCCGGAGCCAGAGCCAGAGGCCAGGACAGAAACGTCGAGAGGTGGGAACCAGAGATCCTAAAGAAACAGGAGTAGAGGGCTGAGAGAATAGGCCAAAGGGAAGCAGGCAGGTAGTGAAGGACTTGCCGAGGAGATCGACGAGAGAGGGCCCAGAGGCGGTTGTAAGGGAGGGATCCCTGAGAAGAAATGGTGAGGGTAAGGGCAGAACGACGTCCAAGAGTGGAGCCTGGATATGCCATAGAAATTGATTAATGGAAAGACTGATCGCTTCTTATGTGTGGCCTGTCACAAAATAGTACTGCCCCCCTCCATACCCCTCTCTTCGTAGGAACCAAGATGACCCTTCATGAAGCATGAGCTTATTGCAAGTTCCACAGGGAGAGAGTGAGCACACCTTCCCTGGTCAACAGATGTGAGCCGAGAGGAGCAAGGATGGGGCTGGCTGCCTTTCCTCCCAGCAATGATGCTTGAGACTCACTGTAGCCCACTGGCCTCAACAGCTTTAGTTGTCTCGGGAGCCGGAGAATTAGCTCTTCCCTTTCCGTCCTTTTCCATCTTTTTTCCGACTGAGATAAGTTTGTATAAAACCAAAAAAAAAAAAAAATAAAGTGTCTTATCTGAGCCCTGGGCCCTGCTTGTCTGTTTTGTCTGTCTTGTGAGCAGAGCAGGCTGGGAGGTCTGTAGATCAAATCACAGTGGTTGCTTCTGCATCCTCTTGAGCTTCTGTCAAAATCACAAGATGAGGACGGATGATGAGTGAACCGAAGCCACCATCCACCAGTGTGTTAGTCCACTATTCACCGACACACAAACAGCCTAAGGGAGGAGAAGTTTCTCTGGGCTCAGCTTTTCAGGGCTGAGCCCATGGTTGGCTGAATTTTGCTTTTGTGACTGTGGTAAGGCAGAGCATCGTGGTAAAGCAGAGCTGCTCACCTCATGACAACCAGGAAGCAGAAAGAAGCACACAAGAAGCAGTCAAGGCAAGACATGTCTTTGAAAAAGACATGATCACATTGACTTCCTCCAGTCATACCATACCTCTTAGCTGCCCCCAGATTAGTGGTCCTCAACCTTCCTGACGCTGCAACCTTTTAATGCAGTTCCTTATGTGGTGGTGATCCCCAACCATAAATTTATTTTCATTGTTTTCTCTTAACTGTAATTTTGCTACTGTTATTAATCATAATGTAAATATCTGATATGCAGGATGATCTAGGGTGACCCCTGTGAAAGGGCTTTTCAACCCCCCCAAAAGAGACCTCAGCCCACAGGTTGAGAACCACTGCCATAGATGAAGTCAGTGCCTTTGTGATCGAGTCATCTCTCAGTAGTGACACCAGCTAGGGTACAGTCCTTCACAATATAGGCCTGTTGGAAGGACATTTTTTTCTAAACCACAATACCCTGTTACAACTATAGTAATATTCAAATAACCAATACATAGATCATTGTCACACCTTCAGAGAACTAGCCAAGTTCTTTGGTGCCCTCCTCCAGGGCCTGTCTGCTCTTCTATAAGAGAACACTCACCTCACAATCAATAAACCAAAGAGAGCCAGTGTGGTTGGATTTGCCTGTAATCCCTTCTGGAGAGGCGAAGGCAGGAAGATTAGGAGTTCAAGGCTAGTCTCAGCTATATAGCAAGTCTGAGGTCAGCCTGGACTGCACGAAACCTTGTCTCCAACAACAACAACAACAACGAAAATAGGAGTGTGTGAGTGAAATCCCAGTCAAAAAAAGAAAGGCGCTCCTGCGTGGCCCCAGGCTCCTTCACAGAACCTGCAAACGGTACCTCTTGACCACTCTGGATCTAGAGCTTGTCTGTCATAGACTTATGCCACGGCCACCGTCACTCTCACCCACAGCTCACCCACGTGCTGGCTGCTTGAAGTCCTCCTTGCTTCTTGCCTGCTCCATCCATGGCTCTCTAAACAGCCTGGACTTCCAGGGTCACGACCTGGCCCTCCTCTTTTACCTGAACGTTTGTGGGTGCAAATCCCATTTTCCTGTCAGTCTGGCAAACATTGTTGGGGTGATTTCAAGAGGAATTTTCAAAATCTAAAACAGCAAAAATCAGATTTATATCGGGAGTACTCATTGCTCTTTCAGGACCGTGCAATCCAGTCAGGATGGTTCACAGAGCACAGCTCCCTGGTCACACCTGTGAGCGTGGCTCAGGAGTCAGTCTACCTGGTCACCCCTGTGAGCCCAGCTCAGGAATTGGTCTCCCTGGTCACACCCGCTTGGTTTCCTGAGTGGTTTCCGGGAAGAGGTGCTGGGGTTAGGGAACTAGCAACGCTGAGCCTGCTACTGAGTCACACACCCTCCACACACACCAGAGGTACACTCTCTGGCCATGATGATGCTCTACAGCACAGGCCTAACTCCTGAGTTCTGTCCATGACTTTTTCCCACCGTGTGTGTGTGTGTGTGAGAGAGAGAGAGAGAGAGAGAGAGAGAGGAAGAGGGGAGAGAAGGAGGGACACACACACACACACACACACACACACACACACACACACACACACACA